TGTCTGTAGCTACGGAGAAGATGACTGGATCTGATTGAATCATATGGCACGTATAATAGTGGCCTATACGTTCGTGCACCGCCCTAGGCACGGTTATCCGATGACTAGCTGACTGTTGAGCCAACGTGCACGCGGCGGCCTATGTGTGCATTTATTTTCTGCACGCATCCTATAATGCCGCCGATCAAATGATCCAAACGGCGCGGCTGCAACAACTAATCATTCAAAAGGGTGCAGGTACAAGACAGGACAAAAGGATAAAACAAAGAACAGTTTTATTTTTTATAAGAAATATGATTCTAGGTTTTGACTTGATTCAAATTTTTTGAGTTTAACTAAATTTATAAAAAATAGTATCAACATTTATAACTCTAAATAAGCATATTATCACTACTACGGAAATAGTTTTTGCCAACAACATTTTCACCGCCAGTTTTATTAAAACCATTGATGATAATGTACCACCATTGGTTCAGAATAAGACGGGTGGTGAAAATCATTTTGGCACAAAAACCGATGGTGAAAGCCATCCTGGGTTTTACGCTAGTTTGGGACATGAACTGACGGTGAAAATCATTTTTACCACCCGTTTGCGACAAAAAAAAACTACGATGAAAACTATAGCCGTATGCAAAATCAGACCCGGTGATGAAACACTGGTGGCTAACATGTCATTACATATGTTCTTCTTCAAAGTGGCAGACATGCGGGGGCCACTCGCCCGTGTCTAACCTCCTAAGTGGCCTCTATGCGGAGGCATGGATTGAACAAATACCCCACCACTACTATCTATCTCTCTCTCTCTCTCTCTCTCTCCCATTTTCTCTCTCTTCCTCTATGTGTCTCTCCTCCTCTCTTCCCCTATACTCCTCCCTCTCTCTCGATCTTTCCCTCTCTCGTGAAGGTGTGGAGGCTCGAGGCTCCTATCACGACGACAAGGGCTCGACGGCCAACCCTGGAACTCCCCCGGTGTGGTGGCATGGCTTAGCGATGTGGCAGCATCCCGACACGGCGGCGGTTGGCTTAGCGTCCCAGAGCGGATGCCACTTAGTGCCGTGCGAGGGGGGGGGGTGGAGGGGTGCTCGACGGTTTTATATACTCCCTCCGTATAAGCAATTGAAGTCGTTTTAGGGGCTGACATCATTTGTACAATTGAAGTCGTTTTGGGTCTGTTAAGCTGGTTTGGACGCGATTACCCCTACACTCGTCGTTTCCTATGGCCCTCATTTATTCACGGGAGCAATTAAATAGCCTGCGGCCCCAGTCGGTCCATCGCCTGCTCGCCTCCCCTTCCTCGTGCGCCCCTGCAAAACTCACGCGTCAAGCAAAAATTGGTGCGCCCGCCCTCGCTGTGCTAACCAATACAACTGCGAAAGGTCTTTGTATGGGATATACCCGCACCACAACCCTATTAAATAAGGGCAAACAGGGAAAAATACACCCTCCTTAATCACTCCTTGGTATGCTAAATCATATCTAAAACGACCTTAATTACCAATATGGGAGTATTTGTTTAAAGTTGAGATTGATGACTTTAGAGAAGACTAGAATTCTATTCATTATGAAAGAAGGGAGTAGGTAACTATTGAAAGCCCTAAGAGCATCTACAAGAGTTTTGTAAAACAACTCCTTATTTTGATATCCTCTCCAAGATTCCAACTTGTAAGTTTTCACGGTCGGGAGAAACTCCGTATTTGCTCCCTGTCCGGCATTTTTCTCGTGAGATCGGAGTAAATTGGGAGCATGAGTGAATTAATAAAATAAAGGGTTTCAGATGAGAAAGTAGTAAGAGACAAAGAAGCTATTAAAAAAAGTTTGGTTGGTTAGAAATAGTTCGGGATTCCCAATAATGTAAAATCGGTTTAGGAAGCTAGTATAGAAAACTATTTGAGATATAAATAAATTGAGGTTGCTACTTTATTTTGTTAACTTGCTAAATTTTATTGGTTTAGCAAGTTAATTGAATATATTAGAAACACCTGGAGTTGCTCTAAGTTTGGTCTTGGTAATTGAATGATAACTAGTGTACTAATGCTTTCAATCAAGTTGTATTTAAGCTAAGTCCACACTTCGAGTGGTGAGAAAGGCTAGAAGACGGTGGAGAGATGATCAAGCCATATGGAGCAAGCTCACAGTTGAGAGGAGAAGAAGAGATGAAAACAAGCCCAAAGGCAAATGTGTATGCTACGGATTTTCATGTCGTTGGCTGAGATGCAATAAGAGATATAGATATAGATATCGATTATGTTTGCACAACATATTTTCTTCATCCTTTTATTTTATTTTATTTTATTTCTAGCATCTTAGTTTCACGTAAGTTTGCTTGCATGCCATAAAAATATGCAATGCCCAGATACATGTATGTTTGCTTTATTGAAATGAACTCCAAGCCCCTTGGTATGCATGTGCACACCTAGTCAACGGCTCTTATTTGTACAGAAATGAGGAAAAAAACTAGAGTTGAGGATTCTCATCTCATAGAGGAATTTTGGTCGATGTCACCCACATGGAGCTTTCCAAGCTATCCGGCCTTAATTAGGGTCAGTTTGGTAGCTTTCACTACCCTAATTCTTTAGTAAAGTGATTCTAGTGAGGGACAGGATGAGAAACAAGTGACAAATTAATGATTTCGAAGTGATGCTGATAGAGATTCAATGGGATCGGTAGAGAGCGGGTTTCTTTAGCTCCGTCCTCATAAATGACATGGGACATGCTGTTTGCTAGTTGAACGTATGCGTCGTTAAGGCAGCACGGAGTGGGCGTACAATGTGCCATTGTCGGGTCACCTTTGGCAGAGCGCGAGATAAGAAGACGACACGACGTACACGACGACGTACGCCGCCGTCACAGGCACGCCAGCTCATCGCCGGCCGATCGATCGATCAAGAGAAGCATCTCGATTGGCCGATTGCTGCACCAACGTGTGTGACGACAAATGAATGAAGCCGTCCACGTTTAGTCGCCCTCGCTATGAATAAGCTTTGCATCGAATTCGCTCGACAGGGGAACATGCAAGACACGTACACCACCGGCGGTAGCGTTACGCCACGAACAGTGTCAATGTTTTGTCGTTGAACGGCAGCACGTACTGTAGTCGAGTATGTGCAACGCTAGATTGCTGCTGGGGCTAGTAGGATATACGTATATCGTCTGATCCCATGTTTTTCCCGTTTTGGGTTCATCGGCATATGCTGCAGTGTGCAGCGTGCTTTGTAAAGCTCGGTCGAGCTAGTTATTGATAGCTGCTTGTACCAGGCAATGCAGTCAGTGTTGCATCTTCCACTTCCTTCGTCAGATTGTTTTGCCAAAAGAGGTGTGGGACTGTGGGAGTTCGTCTACATGAATCAGGCTTAATTAACTGCTCATGCATGCCTTGCGTGTGGTGATGTGGACGACATAGACGACGATAGTCGATAGATAGATTATGATGATGGAGCCGACAGTGTATGTATATGAAATTGGCTTACCTTTGCCTACACGGCCGACGGCGAGGGAAGCGTAAGCTGGTTCCGAACGTCCTACGTAGGTATGAACGCGTGCACATGTCATCTACGTAGGTACGAGTATGACCCGACGGCGCGAAATCACCAGCGTATCTCATGATCAGCCTGCCCCATGCCTGCGCGCCCGCCCATTGCTCATTTATTTGCTCACCTGCAGGCTGCCGGCTGCAGCTAGCTGCGGGGATCCGGCACGGAAAATCGCATCCCCGCAGGCGGCCGCCTCCGGCCTCCGTGCGTCGGCCGCATATGGCGACATGACATGCAGGGAGGCTAGGACTAGGAGAGGACCTCTGCGGCTCTGCATGGTCGACAAGCTCGACATTGATATTAAGGTGCTATGGATTTCGCAAAATGTAGTTCAGTCTTCTTGTTCTATTCTATGAAGTGACCCCATAGCAAAAGAAAGCGCTGTATTCTGGCTATCTGATTGGATCGGGGGTACCAATCAATCCCAGCATATCCTGCACTGGCCTGATTTCCCTGCGGATTTGGTCGGCTTACGATCGACTAGACGGTGGTCCCATTTGCAGAGCTTACATCTAACTGCAGTGATGCTGTTGAAAGAAAATCCCAAGCCTGTTAACCTCGTATAATCCCTGAAGCATACGGGTTGTTCTACTTGCACATTCTTGCAAGAACAGGAAGCGTCAGCAAAATCAATCAGTTCCTAGGTCAGCATCCAGGTCTTCTTGCAACAGACATGCACAATACAATACAGAAACAACTGCCCAGCACAGCAATGAAATACCCCAAACCGTCCAAATGTATTTGAGCTATACGCCTATACTGCGGGATCACAATGTGGTAATAATATATACACATTTCCAGATTTCCTATCACACGCCTTTATTTTCGCCAGCCTGCAGACCCCCCCCACCCACCCACCCACCCACCCATTGGGCTTGTCTGCGTGCAGCAGGAGCAATTGGCCAACTTGGCTTTGCTGGCACCGTACCTCAAACAGGATCATGTTTCTTGGACTTTGGGTTCGATGCTTTGTATAGCCTGCAACTACAATCCAAGTAGGCCCTAAATCCCCCAATCTTGATCAGATATTTGTAGTACGGCTAGGGCCTGTGGGTGAGCATGACCAACTCAGCACAGCCCAAATGCAGTGCTCTTATGTACCATACATAATACATTGTATCCTTACATCTCGTTATAATTGTGGACTGCATCACCAAAATGGGGAAGTTGGGAACTGATAAAGGCATTCCTGATGTATGCAAACACGTCAAGTTAGTTGGATGTAAACAAAACTATAAAATTAATTGTACATAGATTTATCCAAGACTTGACTTAGGTAAAGCAATTTCCAAGACATAACTGGATGAGTGATGCAATTGGTCTGTCCTAGATGTACTCACCAAGCAAATTAACAAAACTATGAATTTTGTAACTGTAAATTGGATCAACAATTATGAACTATTGCAATAGTAGCACATACCTTTGTAAGAAGAACTCCGAACTTCAACAGATGTATTGGTAAATCAAAATTTAGAGGGATGTAAACCAATCAGCAATAGTTCTTGAGAGGACTCTTGTTTCATTGAGAGCCAATGATTTCAATCCTTGTGCAATGGCATCTGCTGGAGTGTATTCTGAACCAACTTGCCATTTGACATCCTGTAACACAGCAAAGGTGAGTGCCTGACACGGCTGAAACATATGAATTAACAATTTTCTGAAATGGTAAACAAGGTAAGAGCACTAAATTCTCCTTAGTGTGAAGCAGTGATATCGAGCATACTAAATGGTGGTGAAACCCTAAAATAACATCATCTTGCTTACTTCCATTCTAGTGCTGTCAAGTAGAGACTATTATTGTGGTGAATGAAATAAGGTGATGCACTTGCACATATGTTTCAGAATTCCTTTAAGTACCCATTCTGTCAATACAATGCGTGAATGAAAAGTATGACAAATCACCTGTATACATGGAGTTAGATGTGTTCCTGACAGTATGACCTTCTTTATTTGTCCACCGATTGAGTCAACGCGGGGTCTCAGGACGTCTTCAACTATGTCTGTATCATCAATAGCATCTACGCTGAATTTGACCTACGAGACAAAAAAAAAAAAAAAATGAAACAGTACACCAGAACAGCTAGAGGTTGGATCAGATAGATGCAAGTTCGTCAGTACCAATAATGTATTGGGTACGCTGTAGGAATTCTTGCAGAATTCACGGTTTTCAGGTGGTGTTGGTTTGAATTCAGACACACCTTCTGTAACCTGCAAATAATATGGGAAACAGCTACCATCATGACAAAGATGCACTGAAGCCTGAAGGACTATAAGTCTAGCACAGGACATGGATGTACTGAAGACAGTTAAATGAAAAAAATAGACGTGCTACTTTCTAATCTAAAAGAAATCCAATAGACAAGCATAATTTCATACAGTACCTGATTCATTACCGATGGTAACTGATCGACAAATTTGCTCAGGGATACCATAGCTTCTTGATCATACTCACGTAAAAAACCTCCAGCTAAATCAAACAGAGCCTTCCATGCATCTCCTAAAGTCATGACATCACATCTTTTTAAAACAGAACATGAAGCATGTCAAGCAAAAGTTCATACCCTTGTTTTGTTCTTTCATTTTACAAATTTCAGCAGACAACAGTGCACACTTTTACCATGTCAGAAAGTTATATGTTATTGTGTGTGGCAGCAGCAACACGATATCATGAAGCACTAAACTCCAGAAGCTACAAACTATAATTAAGAGCAAACCGTCAACACTAGACGGGGTGATCAGGTTGCTTGCTCAATGGATCCATAATGGAAAGCTTGTGATAAAGCATAAGTTTGTTATGGCTCTTTCAGCCAAAACAAATTTATTGAATAGATAGATGCAGTGGCGGAGCTTCACATTAAAGTTAGAAGGGGCCAGGAGGGGCCATTAGTGCTAATCCACATAGATTTTCAACATTTACTCTTAAGAAACAATCGAAATCAGGGGTGGCCATGGCCCCCTTTGGTCTCAATGATCCTCCGCCACTAGATAGATGACAGATAACATGAGCAGCTAAGTTGTAACCCAATAATCACCTGATGCATTTCTGGCCACCGAGTAAACAGGCGAGGCCTCCATCATAGGCATCAGTTGACTAAAAAGGGGCCCTATCTGCATAAAACAAACATACTATTAAGAGAGAGTAACTTCCAAAGGCCAGTAGGAAAGAGCACAAGGTAGCGTTTCACATTTTAGACTGAAATCAGCTCTAAACGCAAATTGTTTGTTGGAAGCTTGGAAAAGAAGTATTGAGTAGCATCACATATGTTCCTGAGATACAACTAACACTTTCTCATTCCAACAAAGTGTTATGAAGGCCCATGATGCATTTTCTATGCTCATTTCTGAACCAAAGTAACTGATCCTGAATTTTCGCTCCCATTGACTTCACAATCGATTAGCTGACTGAAAACATCATACATATAGCCAATTGCAATTTCAGCATTTTGTTTACCCTTTTTTGGTTGATAGTGGCAACGCCCTCCATAGAAAACATTGGACAAACAAAACACATGACAGTAGTGGCTGCAGTACAATATCAGAGAACATCTACATTCTACATATGCACAGTATGAAGCCAGGTTAGACACATGAGCATGGGTTGCCTAGCCAATCTAGAATATTATTTAGCATTCTACAATGTTAAGACAATCTGCTGTCCGCAAGGCTCTGATTCGAACCAGGACAATTAGTCATCAACCATTCGGTGACACTGGATGTCAACATAAACAGGTTAGTATAGCTCAATTATGCAATGAATGCAAAACAACCACTCGGCTGTGTCCATTATCTGTTTTTTTTTGCATCCTTGAAGGCATTTTCTTAAGAGTAAAATGCACGAACGGTCCTTAAACTTGTCTCGTGGTGTCACTCAGGTCCCCAAACTCTCAAAATGCATTCTCAGGTACCCAAACTTGTCGTATGGTGTCATCTAGGTCAAAAACTCTAAAAACTTCAGCTTTAGGTCCTTGAAATTGTCACAGTGTGTCATCGATTAAAACCCACTTGGCTCTGCACGCACGAGAGAATTCAGAGCATCGGTGGCTCCTCGGCTTGGCGACACGCGTCTTCGTAGCTTTTGCAAAAAGACTCCTTGTCTTTTAGATAATCAACCTGCGGTCCAACTCATCCGTCCAGAGCAGTAATCGTCGTTTCGAAAACACCCTTGCAACTTTCCAGAAATCCCCCCGCTCCCACGCTGCACCGCAGCCTGCCCGGACCTCCCGATCCCTATCTCCTTTCTCTCCTCTCCTCGCTCCAGCATCGACTCCAACAGCCTTGCTCCGGCGTCGGCGCTTGGTGGCGCCTGAAACCCTAGCCGCCGCCACATCTTCCGTCTGCCTCGCCGTGTTCCCGCACCGGCGTCTTGGGCGGCGCCCAAAACCCTAGCCGCCGCCGCCTCTTTCCTTCTCTCCACTCTACCTCGCCATGTTGGTGGAGCGCATCTGGATTGTGGAAGAGGCGGCGTGCTGCAACATATCGACGACACCTCGCAGCTCGTCGTCGTCGCTCCACCCACGGGAGTTACTCTCCTTCGTGGCTCGCTCTCTCTCCTGTCCTTTTCCTCATTCTCTTTCATCTATCTACGATGCAAGGAGCTTGGGAGGCGGCTTGGGCGCCACCACCAAACCCTAGCATTCCCGTCATCTCCGGACGCCAGGCTCCGATCTACTCCGACCGGCACCGGATCTACGCCTCCCCGTGCTTGCGGCAACCGCGCCGCCATGGACACCTGGCTCCCGCACTGTCCCGCAGGCCATGCGCGACATACTGCCTCACCTCTTCCACAACCCTGGCGTCGGTCTCCTCCTCGATCCGTGGAGAGCAGCATCACCAACCCTGGCTCCAGTATGCTCGTTGCTGTGCTGCGCGAGATCTATTAGAAACACACGCAGATCGACGACGCTTGCATATATATAAGCCACGGGGAGGATAGAAACTGAGAAGAATTGCGCTTTCTATTTTGTTTCGTGCAGGGCTGATGGGCGGCGACTGTGACTGGTAGCACGCCATGGTGTATGAGGACGGTGATGCTGACTGGGAGCACGCCATGGCGTATGAGGACGGTGATGCTGACTGGATGCTGCTGAGGTGCCATGGGAGTAAGTACCCTTGCTGAGCTGCACTTGCCTTGTATATTGGAGGATTGGAGTAAAGATGATAGGCAAATGCATGTGTCTGGTTTGCAGGATTTGCATGGCCGGACTCGTGCAAGAGGATGAGGGTGATATGATCTTGCCAGGCTAGAGGGTTGAACTCTGGGGCATGGTAGGCATGCCGCGCTGCACGGCATCGAGACCAAAATGGCAGGTGAGGGGGATGGTGTTTAGATATATGCTGTTATTACTCCACAGGTGGTTGTCCTGAATCATAGAATTGGCTTTGGTGTGTAGAACTATGTTCTTTTTCTGTGTTAAATACCAGAGGTTTTGTTTTTGATGGCATGAATCACCACTACATTGATAAAGAATAAACAGAAACGCTTTGAAAAAAGGAGTGGAACGCTATACAAGGCAGTAGGCTTGATCCTCGCATCAAAGCTACAATACCAAAAAAAATTAAAAAAATCATAACAGGAACATCAGCATATCTAATTTGTGTCACCGTGCATAGATACATCAGGTTTGTATACTTTAATTGCAATATTCCTCTTGGTCTTTCAGATCTTGTTCAAGGTATATCATTGCCTGTAGTGATCAAAATTGGATCATTGATTTTTACTGCAGTGTTTTTATTACAGTAGTATGGCAGATATTCTTCTTATGCTAACTGAATTTCAGAGTTGCCATGTATTTCAACAGGGTTAGTGTTAATATTAGGTGTACCTGCTGCTCCTAAATTGAATAACCATCCACTTAGCAGTAAAATTTAGTACGCTTTCCAAGTTGTATTGATGGTTGACAACGAGTAGTGTCTTTCTAAAATGCAAGAAAGTCTAAACTATTCCATGCCTTACTCTGTATTGATGGGCTATAGACGATTTCCATTCTTATAACTGCATGCACATTTCTGTTGTGTCAATCTTTGTTTCTGCGCTCATCTGCTCAATGCTCACCTTTGCTGTTTGCACTCTGCTGACAGCACCTCCACACTACTAGGCTGGCCACCAGTGCCGAGACAACCAGCCATGGTGGGGTCTTTGCTCCCCAGAAAATTATTGTGTGCTTGTAGGGGAAGCTTGACATAGTGTTCTATTATGAGATTGGTACTAATTACTTTTATCACACCATCGTGACGGTACTTATGTTCTTGCATGGATCAATGTGTTAATGTTCACTGGTTTATGCCTCTTTAGATCACTCTTTTGGCTGGCTTCACCTACCAATTCAGGTGCTCCTTGAAATGTGCTTCCAACATTTTACTTTACATTATTAGTGACGGAACTAATTATTGCATTTATCATATCCATAGCTGTATTGGGATGCTCCTGCTGAAATGAAGATCATGCCTATAGCCCAGTTACCCCCCGTTGCATAGTGTTTGCTGTTTAGAATCTTGAAACTCTGCTGCTTAGGGATCGCATTTTACAGACTGAATTTATTATGCGCTATTTTGAAGTGTAATCGGCTTCTTTCTATACCGGCAGATTGCAATAGGACTATCTACCAGTGTGCTAATGTTAAGATGTAATCCAAATTTGAAAGGCAAAGCTTAGCATATTAGCAATTTTCTAATTTTATTTTTTTCCTTTAGTTGTGCTGTTCGCTGCCCATTGAAATATTTACTTATTTCCCTTTGCTACCACGATGTGTAAGCAGATCATGTAGGTGCAGGATCATGAAATATTTATTTACTTATTAGAAAATAATGCTTTTGAGAAAATACTTAATCACCAAAAGAGGCACATCGACCAAATGACAGATTAATTGCTTTGAATTATGATCCAGATATGCCACTAGCCCATTATTTTATTGCCCTGTCATATTCTATGCAAATAATAACTTATGCCCTTTTCTATTTACAGAGTAGTCCATGATACCTAATCACCAAAAGAGGAAGGCTACATCGCTTTTGCCTCTACTGGTTGCATCTAGCTGTTTATGTGCTCAACTCGTGATCGACATCTGATGTTCAGCATTAAGGGAACTTACCCCTATGATGATCGGCTCTGTCTTTTTCAAACCTCGTGGCGTACCAGCTAAGGTGTTCGATAGTCATTAATTCCTGATTGTAGTGCATTTATGGTTCAATAGAGCCATAAATATAATGAAGGGTTGTGTAATATATAGCTGAACGTAACCATGAGAGCTACAGTGGACATCCAAATCATGCTATATGTCGTTGGTTCATCATTTGTGTCATGTTTCTATTGGTATAATATGATACATATTTGATCTTAAGTACTGACACTATGGTGGTGGTGGCAATTACTAAATATTAATAATTATAATGTACTAATATCATAGCTTTACCATATCTGATTATGGAGCCATGTCTATCGAACAGACTAGCTTTTATTCTTCTAATCACGGTAGGCGGGGGCCTGATGTTCTAGTCTAGGTCCAAACAAGCTCCAACCAACCCACATATTGGTCTCTAGCGCTCCATCTACATGCTCTCCCTCTCTCTTCTACCTCCATCTCCATGCTCTCCCCCTCTTTTGCGTTCCGATCTAGTGTGGCATCGCACCACAATCGCCAACTCATCATCCCTAACCCATGCCTTCATCATCGTCCACATCAAAAGCCATGACGTCATCAGTAGTGGTGACGACAAGGCCAAAAGCTAGTGCTTTTTAGACGAAAGAGGTAGGCGAACGATTGCTTTGCCATCAAGTTCCTACCATGGTTAAGATTGAGGAGTAGATCAGGTCTATTTGGACCTAATTGACACACTCTGGGACCTAAAAATAGCATTTTGAAAGTGTGGGACCTAAATGACACACAAAGAAAAGTTAGAGGATTAGAGGACCTAAGAATGCATTTTACTCTTGTATTTATTACAACTCAAAATCCCAATGTAGCGTGAATAGTTCCATGCAGTGGCTCATCTTGAGATGTCAAGTCCCTCTTATCAATTAGATGCTGGCCTCAGTATTGGTGCCACTTTACTCTGGGGTGATAGATGTCTGTGACTGCAAGGAAAGGATATTGCGGTTCTAGCTTCTAACCTCATTGCTTGCATTTACAAATGAATCATCAATAGGCAACTGTGCAGGAAGCTATGCTTGACAACAAATTGATTCAGAATATTAGAGGTGCTTTATCACAGGTTGTCTTAAAAAAAAACTGACCTACAGGACGAGCATTGCTGCAGACTTTCAGCATTTGGATAATACACAGCAAAGTACGCATACCGCATGGTATTCCTGAGCAGTATATACTAGAAAAACTTGGGTGCCAAGATGCTGCCCGTTCTTCATATGGCTCGCAGTACACAAATGCTTCTGGACACTGGACAGCAAACGGATTGACCCATAGGGGGCTGCCACATCCAACTGCTTATCTACTTTGTGAACAGGAATGCTGCTAGACAGCAGACAGATTGGCCCGTACGGGGGGTGTCACATCCAGCTGTTTGTCTACTCTGTGATCATGAGAATGAAATGATAACACACATCTTGGTCTTTTGCGTGTTTGCATGTCAGTTATGGTTCTATTATTTATCCCGGATGATTGGCTTACCAGGCATCTCACCTTGGGGTGATGAGACCGCTTTCAGTGATTGTTAGAATAGGTCATTCCAGGAGATCAGACAAATAGCTGACGAATAGCTTTAACTCACTAGTGATTCTTGATTTCTTGGGGCAAGGCTGTTATGGAAACACTGGAACGATTGTGTGTTCAATGGAGGTACTCCAAGTATGCAAAAAATCTGCACAAGGCCATGGAGACATTTCAGCTATCGAGAGATGCAGGGGCGCCTGGGCTCTTTTGGTGGTGTTAGGGTCTTAGTGAGCTCTGTTGTTGGGTTGACTAAAATGTTACTGTGGCACGTCTGAAAACTTGAAGTTAGTGTTTGTGTGCTTATTTTCTTGTGCGGTTTGGATGAGTGCCATGTGTTTTTATTGGTCTGCTTTTGTTTGGACCTCTCTCTCTTCTTAATGCAATGATGTGATGCCCTCCTACATGTTTGAGAGAAAAAGAAGGGCATCAAATTTTAGATACTCAACTGTGCACTACTCACACAAACACATTATATAGTTCAACTAAAGAGAAATATATTGTTGAAAACCACACACTGACACTCAGTTAGCCTACAGTCAACACCCTCTTTCCTTACTTTTCAGGTATTATTAACTAGCAAGAAGAGTTGAGCCAGCAACTTGTATCCCTACAAACTAATTTTAGGTCCAGATTTTCTCCTAGTCGAAGTTAATTCGAAAATTCAGTATCAATTCCTCTACTGATCCATAAGTTTACTCCTTTCTATGCTTGCTAGTCAGCATCTGCAACTTGCTACTCTTATGCAGCAAAACATTAAGGCGTGAAACAGAAAAAGGCACACTCATTAACCATAAGGTAATGAAGCCCAGACTACATACCTGTTCAAAGTAAGGCACAGCCTCCGAAGCCGGCCTATTGTTGAATGAGACAATGGCATTAGCCTAAAATGAGGACAACCCAACAGAGAAATAAGATCAAAACCACTTGGCGGTCAGAAGTATATCAGATTATATGCAGTTTTAAGGAACACAAAGCTTTTTTTTTTTACTAGTTATACTGAATTATTAAAGCAAACCGAAACTTTGCAGACAGATTTCTCATCAACGAAACATCAGCAGACCTTTGGTATCTTTTCTGAGAAGTAGCTTCCCACCAGCAGCTGAAGCAGTGCCCCGTTGCTGCAAACCATCACAACAGCACAATTAAATGAGCAGAATACAAGACATCAACAAAACAGAGCTCGAGGCTTCCTCCGAGTCAAATCATCGAACAAGTGGCGTGCGACATTCGTCGCTGAAATCACCTGTGGCCAACAGAGTAGAGCGGGAGCTCCGCGATGTCCAGGGCACTGAGGCCGGCCTCCGGGAGCCCCGACGCGAGGAGCGCGTCGTAGCTGGCATGGAACCTCTGGAAGACCTCCCGCGCGGCGGCCTCGTGGTCGAAGGTGACGTTGTACGGCACGCACACGACCAGAAAGCCCTCCCGCGCCAGGAGCTCCAGCAGGTAACTGCGAGCAACCAACCGCGCGATGAGCCAAGCGCACCAGTGCGGGTCCAACCGAACCGAATGAACACGTTTTTGCGTCCCAGTGTGGCCGACCGCGGAACGGATGGAATCATGGAATGGAATGGAACCCACGCGCTGACGAACTTACCCGTAGGTGACCTCGGGGACGGCGCCGATGAAGGCGCCGCCGAGGAACTTGATGACCGCCAGCGGGCGTCGGCCGCGCGGGGGCGGGAAGATGAGGCAGGAGTGCTCCCGCAGGTACGGCTTTCTCATCGGTGGCGCCGTCCTGGGACTGGGGGGCCCGAGCATGGCCAGCGCGCCGTCGGGGCTGAGCGACGCGCGGCAGGGGAAGAAGCCTCTCGATGGTATGGCCCGGTGGGCGTGACGGCCACGGGTAGGAAGGGGGCGGGGGTTCGCGGCGGGAGAGGCGGCCGGTGCGGAGCAGAAGAGGTGAGCCGCCGCCATGGAAGGGAGCAGGTGAAGCATGGTGAGCCGGTGAGGTGAGGCGGGCAGGCGCAGCTGAAAGACTGAAACGAACAGTCGAACACGAGCTGACGATTTGGCCACGAGGCCCGGGGCGGCGTGGCCGGGCGTTTCTGCCGTGGACGAGGGAAGCCTGTTTCTGCTCTGTGAGCCTGTGACCCATCACGCCCGAGGCTGTGAGCCAGCGAGTTTTGGCCCGTCCAAGTGGCCGCACGGCTGCATGCCACGCATTGACGCAACGGCCGGCTTGCGGATAAATCGATGTCACTGAACCTTTGAAGACAAGCTCTCCAACCCAAACCAAGCAATTATTACTTTGTATAATTCCAGCAAAAAACTTGAAGGAATTAGCTGTACAGTTCATGTAAAGTTTTATTGAAATTCCCACGTTAACTGGAAGCGACATATCCTCATTCATATTTCTTGCCAATATTACAGAATTTACAGTTGCCCAGACGAATAGATCTAAGATGCGCATTGAAGAAAGAAAAGAGGTTATACAGGATTATGCTGACACGGAAGACATGACTTTCAGAATGAGAACCTAGCCAAAAGCATTGCAGGTTTAATGCCTGGCGATTTTCCTTGTAAACCTCAGTAAATTCGGCTGTACAGTCATACAATTGGACTAAAATTACAGCTATATACAGTAACAATGATAGAACCGGGGGAGGGACGAGACATCACCCTGATCAGCTAGCACTGTCCTTGTACTGGAACTACTTTATATACACAGTATATGTTGGCAAAATTTGCTACCTCAAAATTTGGGTGTGCTTGTGTTCAAAGACTCATGAACAAAAGCAAGGTATGTGGTCGAAGTCAATCGGTATGAAGAAATCATAGACCAAAGTCAGGTGCAAACTCTTTATCATCTACTAGCTCCTCTCCCTAGGCATATCCAACAACTTTGGTCATTTTGTTCTCCCCAAGTCCCCCACCTGCACTCATAGTAACAGTGAAAGCAGTTAGAAATTTATAGGATGGCAAAAATGAAACTTCAACTGTGTCTGAAGAACAGACCTTACAACGTAGGGATAGGGAAGAAACCATTCCCATTTGGATAATCCAGCATAGAGTAGTATACACACTTGCCAAACATAAATGGCCTGGATACTCCAGTTACAGATCCAAAAGCCATTCCATTCAGCAGACCCCTCAGTCTGATGAGCAAGGAGCTAACCGAGGACAGACTCTTTGCAGCCAGCAAGTTGCAGTGCATCAGAATATTCAGTTGCATTTTAACATGGTACATAGGAAAAACTCTTCATCGCGCGAATATGTGCATGGTGATTCATCCTTGTTGGAAGCTCGCTCCAGCATTAGTGTTTTACTCTTCTGACCTGACTGACCCTCATCACACAGATGTATCCGTCTGAACAGGCTTTTGAGGGAAGAAAAAGATAGCAAGCAAGGAGCAGATACTTAGGCCGATAACACCATCAAAAGGATGCAGATGGTAAGTGCCAATCATCCAAAACGGAGTTTCAGGTTTCGGTGTTAAAATACCACTGCTTTGTATTAAATAACTGGCAGTCATGATTCCAGAACGCAGGCCAATGGGTGCAGCAAGCTTTCCTTTTGTCCTCTGCTTAAGCCCAAAAAGCACCAGAGAAAGTAGCAAGAAACCTGGTACCGAGGGTAGTGACCTGCCATCCAATTGTATTGATGTCACTACTTTGCAAATGGTTTGCAAAAGTGAAACATGCTTGAATACAAAAAAAAACATGGATAAAATCATATATAGGCATCACAAACTGAATATTTCATATCTTTCGAAGCTTTTGAAAAAGGGCAACTAGTTAGTTCATTGATGTGACATAGGTATGCACAGAAAAAATAAAGTTCACCGCACCCAACATCCCCCTTTTTGGATCCCCACTGCAATAAATATATCTCCCAAGTCTAGTGATGGTTACCTTGCCATTACATGTACATATCAATAAGGCTTTGCTTGGCTGCACTCTAATCCACCCCAATCCACTTGTATTGAGGTGGATTGAAGTGCAGCCAAACAAGCCCTAAAAACGCTGAGAAAACAGGTGATGGTGGGCAAGAATTGACGTACCAATGAATTAGAGAAAACACAAGTCCAGATATCATAATGGCATTGTAGTAACCAAGATCAACAGCAATTTCCTCTGGAAGCCATGATCTGAAAACCATTTCTTCCACAACAGCAATGCTAGTTGCTGTGGCAAGCCCTCGAAGAGCTAGCAAAAACACATTACTAGAAGACTTGATAAGATCAAGGGGTCTAGCTAAAGATGAAGAGAACCCTGTCCGAAAAGTTGCAAAACCGAGTAGAATGCTTATTGAGTGCACCAACCCTACAACTGTTACACCTCCAGCCAAACCTTGAAAAAATTCCCACAGCTGCAATAAAACATTAATTATTACATACTATATACATAAACCAGCACTCTTCAGTTCTCTGAGAAATACCAAGTAAGGTTCTTATGAGATTATAAGTTTATACCCTAGACGCAGACCAAATATTCATCCCGTATTGCTCAACTGGATCCTCATAGCCACGTATCCTTTTGCCCCACAGCATGACAAGTATCATTATAGAAACAAACAATCCAACAATGCAAGCATAACCAATAATCCCAGTTGAAGCACTTATTGTCCAACTTTGAACAAGTGTTGGCAGTAGAGGAATCACAACAGGGGACCAAAGGATGAGAACCATTAAAGAAAAGCCCATAATCCTATAATGCAAAGAAGGAACATTTTAAGGACAACCTAAGAACAGAAAGCAAACAACAAAAGGTATAACATGTCTACAATGGTGAAATTTCAACTGACTAATCCATGGAAGGGCCAAACTTGTACACATGAACCATGGCTTAAGTAACAACTACTACTACTACAGTACCACTCAATAATGAACCACTGAGTGATACCGTCCCAAATGCTTCATATAGCTTAAAAAGATGTAAGGCCCTAACTGCTTATCCAGAACAGTGAAAGTAATGGTCCTGAAGCCACTTTCTTTAGAAAAGAAACTATGGGGGTTCAAAAATGTGCCTGCTTTTCACTGACCCAAAAAGAAAGGGTAGCCTCTCTCAGTACTCGCTAAAAATGAAGAAAAAAAACCGACAACATCTTGGAGCTACTACAGAAAAAAAAACGAAAAATCAAATCAAAATTCAAGCTAGTATCTGAAACACAAGAGTAGGGGCACCACATCTGGCATTTTGAGAGGACTACTGAAGCATCTTTATAATTCTGGCTTGGTTAAGTTGCTAGATGTTAAAGAGGAACAGCACGGTCTGATCTCTAGTTGTATGCCACTGATGGACAGGAAAAATGAAACTGAAGCACAAAAAGAGTCGATATGCTTTTGGTAGAAATACTATTTTTCAAGAAAATAAAGAGAGAATAAAAAATAAAATAGAAAAAGTAAATACAATAATTCTTTTTTAATGAGAACAAATGAAATGTAACTACATCTATTTGAAAGAGATGAGGATTGAATCTCTCCATCCATTAAAAGGAGGAATAGGGTTCAAAACATCAGTCATCTCAGTCAGACTTCCCAAGGGGAACACCCAAAAACACTGATTATGTGCCATCACCTCAAAACATAAACATCTCAAACCTGAACTCAACACAAATAGAACACAAATAATCAAAAGTATAAAAAATAAACACAGTAAATCAAAATATATGAGAAATTTCATGAATTACTAACATAAACCATCTGATGAAGACACACCAATTAAGTTCTTGTTTTCTATTCAATTGCTGTTCTCTTGCGCATAAGAACATAAGACTAACCTCTGAAATAAGGGCTGTTCGCTGATACGTAAGAATGATATAAGCCTATCAGTTAAGCTCATAGCGCCACGAATTCCGCCCCAGAGTAGAGCAATTTTTCCAACGAACCTCAAAATTCCACCCTTTTGTCCGAGTTCAGCTAGAACTGCAACAAGCCTGCTTGCAGAAAGTCAAAACATAATAAATATATTCACAGGAAAAAGGAAAAAAGAAAAGGAGTAGCGACAAAGGAACAAAACAATAGTAACATTAACAGACCTTTCATGATCAAACTCACCATCACCCTTTGTGGGAACTACCGGCCCTGCAACAGACATGGCTTTCTCAGCAAAACTGCTCATCAAACTGTTCTGGCTCTTTTCCTGTGCAGTTTCCTCATGTTTGGCACTTTCGGTCTCAACAAAATCCTTGCAATTTTCATCCTTATTTTTCTGAAATATGAAAGTTGAATGTTTTATGAAAGAATGGCCTGATAAGAAGAAATAAAGGCAATTTTTGTATGGAATACCAAACAAACGTGGTATTGGCTAGTTCCCACCACAAATGCTGAAATTTGCCCGGTACCATTATCAAATCGTAGTCACTTGCATAGGACACCGCAACGATTATTTTGTTCATTTCAGATTTGTGGAGAGAGAGGTGGGGGATATGACCTTTTTGCCCTTGTATTCATCCTCTTCCTCCCAGCATTGTGAAGGTAACCCTCTTTCTCCCTCTTTTCACATGCCACTGCAGCTTGACTTGTCCCCTCCCACGCCACCGCCATTCCAACTATCCATTTCAGCCACACCCATCCCCCTCCCATCCCAAACCCCCGACTAAATTGAGGACCACCACAAGCACCTGCGCCCCCATTTGCTCACCTCTCCTCACCCTCTGGCTCAATGTTGCGCCGCTGCCACATGTACCAAGCACCGACCGAGTAGTAGGGGGCACGACTATTCGCACAACTTATCCATCTGTGACAGGCGAGGGGCTTTGTGGGCACCACTACTCGCACTACTTATCCAAGCCCTTGCATACATCAAGGTCAAAGGATGGGAGCATATAATGGTGTGCAAGGGAGAAGATCATGAACATGTGGATGCTCCAGGTGCCGATGCCTTTGACATTGGTGAGCACCACAGCAACGGAGTGGTCGTCCATGTTGACAATGGCAGACGCGGAGATGATCCTAGAGGCATAGTTGCAGGCAAGGTCATGGAGGTAGGATGCCTTGAACGGGGATACCCGATCTGGCGGAGCTAGTACAGGGTAAGCGAGAAGACAGCATCGAGAGCCATGCTACCACACCGCTGGGAGCACGAGAAACCGGGAGTAGACGGAGGCGGCGGCCATGAAGGTGGGCTGATGGTACAGGATGCATCGGATGAGGGAGTGCAACAGGTGGTGGGGCAATGGAATACCAGGGGCTGATGGGTGTCGATGACGGTGGCAAGGGCAAGGTCCGCGACGCGCAGGTGGCGGATTTGCCATGACCACATGGCCCTCCATGAATAGGGGTTGGCCCAGGATCAGGAGAGGATGAAGAACTGACATGTGGACCCTGAGGGCAAAAAGGACATTTCCAAACCTTCTCTCTCCTGAAACCTGAGAAATGAATAAAATAACCGTTCTGGTTCTGGTGTCCTACGGCAAATGGCTGGATGTGACATAGCCAATATCACGTTTGTTCTATAGTAAAATTTGCTTAATAAAAAATGTATCACTCCTCTAATGCAGTATATCAAGGAAAAGAGCTATGTATGTCTTATAAGAATGAGAACCACTACTTGATACTTCACTAAACTTTCAGTTCGACAAGAAAAAACTAGGTTGAGACCATCATCCGTGTTTTGTGTGCTAAAGGAATCAAATACTGAAAAGAAAATCATGAAACATGTTTTATTAATCTCATCCAGCTAACCTTAAACATGACGAGAGGAATTTGGGAAACAAATATAGCAATATGAGATGTGTTACGGTGCTTGGCAGGAACCGGTGGTTCCTCATGACATATATTTTGTCAGCCGTTGATCTTAAAACACACTAATTAATTGTAACTAAGGGTATTATAGTAAGTGCGCTTAATCCGCGTGGATGCACAAAATAGACGGAGGCGCTGGAGCACTCATCCGCCGCCTACAGACATCCGCCCAGCACTCCTCCCCATCGCCGACCTGCCACCGCTCCCACTTTCAGCCCACAGCCCGTCGCCGGCCGCTTGCACCTCCTCTGGTTACTTCAGCTCGTTTGCTGCAAGTCTGGTCGTCCGCCCGTCTCGTGGCGAGATCCACCATCGGCTGCCTGCAACCCTGCATCCACGTATACACAACCTGACATGATCCATACGGAGAGCAACATTGGTACACTCGTCTTCGTCCCACTCGCGTTCGTCATCACGTCGAACTGCAGATCAAGTGGAGCAGATTGGGGGCACCGGTGGTGGCATGTCAGGCTGATTATCTCTTGTTCTTTGTGCCTCACGCAATTTTCTGTTTGCTATTCATCAGAATTGAGTCATGTAGGATTACCCTTTGTGTTTGCATGGTTTGAGAGCTCCTGACTTTGCTTATGTCTTTATTGTCTTCCTGAATTCCATTGAACTGTACCGTCAGTGATGCAAAGTTGCAAACTACCGTTGTTCATCATATCAGTTTCAGAGGACCATGCCACATGCCGCGCCCGGCTCCCACGCGGCTACGCTCCACATGGTACTGTTGCGGGCATCCTGCGTCACCGCATGGAGGCCATATGTGCATGCTGGTGTCACCGCTGCGACGATGGGCTGAGCGCACCGTGCCACCGTTGCCAGTCTTGCCGCCATAGCCCCACGAATTGGGGTGTATATAGGAGTGGAACTGAGAGTAGAGTCCAAGATAAGGGTCAGATCACGAGGCCGCAGGTGTGAGGAAGGACGCCGGCGGCGAGGGAGAACGCCGACAGCGACCACAAACAGGCAAAGGGAAGTTAGGATAGGGCTGGGTGACTGGGTCACTGCTGTTACTCTACGTGTGAATAGATATGAATCTGAAATGATCACTCTAGCCTTTCCCTATTTTTCCTATTTAGTTCCGGGACCACAAAATTTTAGTACCGGTCCACAACTTAAGTTCCTTCTACTAGGTACCTCTCATCTATTAACCCTTAGATCAGGATCAACGGGCGGCTATTATAATTTCCAAGCATAGTAAAATTTCTCTAGCAATATTATATAGACTATAGAGTAACAGGTCCAAAGGAAATCATAGACAAGAAACTGAACTTGGGATATTAGTTTACTTACTTGATTATGTGCTACCAAAGCAGAAGCACCTAGGGCAGCCGTCACAGCCCCCACCATCATATCTTGACCCTGTGACTTTGTCATCTCCTGCTGGTTGTCCCCACTGGTTTTTTCAATATTATTGTCGTCTGTATTTGCTTTTCCACTATCCTGAACATTCTCTTTGCTGCTATCCTGAACAATAACTTCCTCACCCAAAATATCTGAATTCATAGTCGCTTTCATATGGTCACCATGCTTAGACACACCAAAATGGAAGCAATTTCTCAAACATGCCAAAGTTACACCAACTATGACACCGACAGGAAGAATGCTCCTCAGATGCTGAGACTTCTGAACTGCAGTTGATACAGCTTCAACAACATTTGTTCCATGTGTTGAACCAAACTTGAGAGTTGTTGGACTTCTTTGCCCACGTGTCACTGAATAAAACTCACAATCAAGGACAACAGTTTTAGAAACTTCTGCAGCAATCTGTTCTACATCATTTGCAAGACTTCTTTCAAGTTGCTTAGTATCTGTTATCCCTATTTTGCGCCCAACTTCCATTTTAAGGGCACTTGATAGTTCATCTCTAACAAAGCATGTAAGTGCCTCTCTCAAATCATTACCAGGTATTGACCTGGTTGCTACTGTATTATTCCATTTATTTGACTTGTATGTAAAGTCTGGAATTTTTCTTGGTATAAAGTAGGGTGGCTGAACAGCTTTGTCCATCTTAGATGACTCTTGTGAGGATTCAGAAATGTCATTTTGCGCATTGTGCATCTGGTCTGCAATTTTCCATTTACCCTCTTGTGGATCAAGAAAAAGATCAGTTGCTGAATTAAACTCCTGTATTTTGAGTTGCAATTGTGTGTAAAGAAATTCATGAATGTACATTGCATACTGCACCTTCAAGTAATAGTTGACAGCTATATCTAATAAATAGTCAGGCAAGCCATTGACCTGCTTGATACCATCAGCATCCACATGATCACCAACTTTGTTTCCTTGGTAATATCTCATTTTTTCCCTACCAGATGAAACAATGCTTAAATTGGGATTTCCCTCACCAAAAGCACAATCATCTTTGGACATGATTGAATCACTTTTTCCAGGACTGCTACCTTCTGGTTGTTTAGATGATTGGTTTATTTCTTCTCCACTTGATGCTTTCTCTGTATTCTCCTTTACATGAGATTCTGTCTCATCCACAGAAGTGCCATCATCATTTCCATCAGAATTTTCAGCATTCTCAGAATCCTGTTGTTTCTGAAACTGATCAATCATATTTTCAAGAACTCCAAATACACTGTTGACAGCCATTTGAGTCGAGTCATCAAACCCAGTTAATGCATCTAATGCTTGGGTCACAGTAATGGGCGAAGGTTTCGATCCTTCTGTTTTAGAGACTTGCGTGCTTTGATCATTCACATTATGAGCAGCCTTATCTTCACCTGTGCGAATTGTGTCACCTTCCTTTTCTGTTGCGTTAGATTGTTGATTCTGGTCTGTTGTAGCATCTGCTGATTGCTCCCCTTCTTTAGAAGCCCCATTAGAGTTGGCCACTGACTGATCATCAGAAACTTGCATTGGAGTTGTTCCATTGTCCTGTTGGGTTATATGCTGCCCTTCACTGTTATCATTGGTTCCATAGTTAGCTTTATCTGATTTATAAGGTTGTTCACTTCCAATTTCTGTCGCAGTTCCAACAGGTTCAGAAGTTTGAGAAGGCTTTCCTTCTGATGATTCGATGCTTTCTCCAGGTTTATCATCATTTTTCATATTAATGTCTTTCCGATCCCCCTCAGAAGCTGTTGCAGAAATCCTGTTCTGATCAGCCATCTTAGCATCCTTAAGCCCACTTTCATGACCAGAATCTTTGAGCTTTTCCTGGGCCAATGCCTTGGTGGTGGTTGTTCTTACATTGTTCCAGCCAAGTCGATTCAATGCATCTAAACTGAAAGTCTCTCGTTTGGAATTTAAAATTTCAGTTACAGAAGCCGTAAGTTTTCCACGCACATCTTCAGGTACAGCTTCTTCTAGAGCTTTCGCAAGAGTCTCCCCTTGCTCCACAGCTACCAGAACCTTACAACAAGAAACAAAAAAGTAACTTGTAAGCACCTTGATATACATGTTCTATAGTACCCAAAGTTCCTGACTTCAGCACACCTAAAGTTTCTAATGTTCAGATTTCTAGCACACCTAACTTTTTCCATCCACTGCGGTAATCCATGACGAAAAGTCGAAAATACCCACAAGGCTAGTCCTAACAAGGCATTGCTTGTTACCGACGCCTCAGTCCCGTGCCCAATTGAACAGTACACACAATTGAACAGTACACATACTGCGAGAGCTTGTAGCCATCGTCACCGACCAACCAATCAGACACCTGCCTGTGGACCACAGGGCCTGCTGGATGACAGGGAGGAAGGAGGGCAAGGGAGGCGGTGCAACTTCCTCTGCAGGCCACACTACCTGCTGGGCGCCTGGGCAGGCAGTGCCACCCCAGCAGAAGGCCACCAGGGACCCTGTGAAAGAGAAAGCAAGCTGCTTGGTGACCTACAGGAGGCATGGGCCTGGCACGGAAGAGCTGCTCAGTCACCTTTGTCTCATTGTCTGTCAGCAGACATGAGCAGAACGAGAAATAGGAAAAATAGCAGTAGCAGAAAAGGATCGTGGACATTCTGGTACTTCTCATTGTGAATTAAAAAAAGAAAAATTGTGAAAACGGTACTAGTGGTTGACAAAGTGCAGAAATTAACGTTTGAACTTTGGTACTATTGAAGTGTGCCCAAACCATTCGCTGCTAGTTTGCTTAAGTCAGGAACTTTGGGTGCTGTAGAACCAATTTTGCCAATTTAATATGCCTGCATACCTTCTTCTTCTGATCATCATTGAGAGTACCAGGCATTGTAGCATCTAGCATATTCATCACAAGACTTGCTGATTGTAGTACCTGACCTTTCTCAACATCTTCAGAACTCTCTTCTAACTCTTCTTCCAGATCTTTGTCTACAGTTCCTATGTCACCATTATTTTCCAACTGCCCATCTTCTTTGTTTTGAGCATCAGAGTACTTTTTTGCAGAATCAACTAGCAGTCCATTTATTCCATGAGGAACATTATTATACAAAATAAGTTCAGAATGCTTACGAAAACTATTTCCTTTTCGAGGTTTCCTCTCATTCACTTGAGGTTCAACAAATGCTAGACCTTTGGACGGGTTAATTGTGATGTCCACATCTTTGATAAGTGGATGCCGACCCTTCAGAAGAGCAAACTCGACAGCTGATAACCACTGCATATAATAAATGCAAATAACAAGTAATAATTTTGAATTTAGTACACTAGCTTAAAATACACATAATGGAAGAAGCACATACATGCGAGATCGATAAAATATTAAATCCATGGGACACTGCAAGTGACAATGTTGAGTATTTTTGCTTCCAGTGGTCATGAATGCTATAACATCTAACAGAGCAAAAAAAATGAGGACGTAGGTGTACATCAATCTTCTGTATGCTACTGGTTCTTGAACAAATCATCTATTTTTAGAAGGAATACTTCTACAAATCAGTTACTGGTGTTTCTGTGAAGAAATCTCGTTAAGAAAATGAAAATATACATGTCTAATGCTTGAACTGGTATAAGAATGCTTCCAGCAGGGTCCTAGAGAAAATAAATAGAAAAATATTTTACCTCTAAGGCAAGATTCTGGCACCATAACACAGCGTATCTCCGAAACGTGAAGATAGTGGAGTGTACACCAGAACAAAGGAGAAGGCTTGTGAAAGGATTTTCTGATATTGAACTGCGGGGCACTGTAAGAAGCGGCACAGTCCCATCATCACTCTGCAGTACAGCATATATTCAAATTAGATAATAGAAAGATGGTGTTCACAATGCATGCACTAAATTTCAGAATGATGTTAACGCTCATTAACTTTTGATATCCAGACAATGGAATTACTACAATATGCAAATAACAAGTTAGCTAAGCTCTAGTATTGCTTATATTGTTGAAAACTATACCTGTATAAAAAGTAGAGGTATTTTCACATGGGCAACTGACAGCCTTGTGCTAATTTCAGCATAGAAATCATGAAGAGTATCAAACCCATGTGAAACCATGGATATAGCTCCATCGAAGTCCCTCAAACAACTGGCTGACAAAGCCTTTTGAACATTGAAATTTTTAGCTTTACCTTGAAAGAGTTCCTGAAAGAATACATCATCAGTTGTTTGGCAATGCACTTACAGGGAAAAGGCTAAAAATACTTGTGACAATGCCATGAATTACAGAGATCACAAGAGCAACTGGTCGGTAGAGTAGCTCAACTTATACAGATCCTAAGCTTCAGTGAGGCACTACCGCACTAGTACAGCTACTTCCTACAATGACCTATTGCTAGTTCTGTGGACTGATATATGCACATGCCGACATGTGACATTGTCAGCATATGAACACATGACATACATAGCAGAGGGGTTACAGTTTTTCTTGGAGAGCAGTGGGGATGAAACCTTATTAGCACGCAGAATATCAACCAAGCCAGTTGTGAGCTTTTCATCAAGAGCTATATGATGAGGAAATGATCTCGTTGCTTCTTCTAGATCAAAAGGGTTGTCAATACAAACAGCAGCAGTAAGAGGAGTAGACTCTCCAACTTCCACGAGGTACTTTGTAAGCATATTTGCCCCATAGCCCCATCCAACACCCATTAGTGTTGTCCAAGGTCTCTTGCTGTTTATATACTGTACTGCTGTGCAGATATCATCACTGTCAGCTGCTGTAAATAACCTACATAAGCAGGTAGTTTAGAAGCCCTACAATTTCGAACAGATATCCATCACTGCCACACCTCAAAACTTATGTACAAACATCAAAAGGTACACAAATGCAATGAAGTACTCCATAGGTTCCAAATTAGAGGTCACTTTAGTTTTTTCCTAAGTCGAACTTATCTTTGACCAAGTTTATAGAAAGATGCATCAACATCTACAACATCAAGCTTGTTTCATTAAATCCTCCATGAAATATGTTTGGTAGTTGGTATTGCATTTATTTGAACTTGTAGATGTTAATATATTTTCTAAAATTTTGTCAAAATTAGAAAAGTTTGACTTAAGAAAAAGCTAAATTGACCTATAATTTGGAACGGAGTAAATAATATGATGGGTGCATTAATTCAACAGTTTTGGAGTGCATGACTGACAATAATGGATCCATGGTGTTCCCATGTTGTAAGAATTTTCAATGTCAGAAACATGCACAATGATTAGTAATGGGTCGGTAGAATAACGATAACTTAACACTTGTGGTTGATGACATTATCTGAACTAGTCATGGACTCATGGTACTCCATTGGCATCAATCTGTACAGTGGACTTTTCCAATTACTTTTTTTTGTTGCATTAAAGCAATCACGGTTGAACAAGCAATATTTCGTCTGAACTTTATTTAAGACGTCTTCATAATGGACAGAAGTTATAATAGCATATATGTGGCATAGTTAGTTTAAAGTTTTAAACTGAACATATATATTAGTAACGCCTGGCATTGAGGGCGAACAATCACAATTTAGGTAATGCAAATCAAGCAATGAACATATATTGAGATGTTAAAGTGAATTCCTATACAACAAGCAGTGAGCGCCTAAAAGTGACTGCAAGTTTCTAGTTCTGGTAAGTAAGGAGCTCCTTGTGATAGATAAAATTTACTCTTAACGCCCTCAAATTAAGTGGGCAACAAATAAGCATCCCAAATGAGTAGAAGACTTTCACCTTGGGGTAGTGACTGGGGAGCCGCCGCACCCTCTGGGGTTCATTACAATAGGAAAGTATCCATTCTTCAGCGCATCCAACACGAACACCTTGATGCTGCTCTCCATGCTCCCCTCGTGCGTGGCAGGCACTATAAGCACCGTGGAATCCAGCCCATGCTCTTTGTCCAAGTCCAAATTATCAGGCCAATCGAGTGCGATCACCCCACCGTCCTCAAGGGCGATGCAAATCCTCTGGTACGAGATATCGCAGGCACCGTCCCCGCCGCGCACCACGGGGACGCAGCCCCTGCTCAGGTTCACGTAGTGCCGCTCCTCGGTGAGCAGGCGCTCGTTGACGCCGTCGAGCAGGACGCTGCCGTCCTCGAAAGACACGGACGGGCAACGCAGCAGCACGCAGCGGTTGAATGGCGTCGGGCTGGTGAAGAGAACCCACTCGCCCGCGACATCCCCGCACACGTCGTAGTCCTCGGATTCCTGGGACGGCGGCGGGAGGCTGGTCTGGGACGAGGAGGAGGACCAGGAGGAGAAGGAGGTGGCGACCGCGGCTGCAGCCGCGAGCGCGGCGGGGCCTACGAGCGCGAGGGAGGAGGGGAGGCTGGCGAGGAGGTCCGAGAGAGAGGCGCGGGGGGCGAGGAGGTACGGGCGGTGGTGGTGGTGGTGGTGGCGCCGCCTCCGCAGGCGCCTCCGGAGGACGAGGAGGAACGGGGTGGGCGCGGCGCCCTGGCGAGGGAGATGCGACGGAGGAGGGGGGCGGGAGGCGAGTTGCATCAGCGGCGGCTGTGGCGAGACGCCACGGGGACAAGCCTTGGTAGTGAGAACGCGGGCGGCGGCGAGGGAAGCCGGTAAGGGTGGTGTGGTGGAGGAAGACGCGGAGGGGATCGGGGAATGGGAAAAAAGGGGGAAACGCGACGTCGACGGTGACGAACGAAGGCTCGCGGCTTTTCGAGCGTAAAGCTCCCGCAGTTTATTGTTGTGGCACATACCGGGCCCACGGATTCCCTCCGACCGGTGGGGTCCAGCACGTTGCGTGGAATGCCTGACTGCGGGTCCACGAAACGTCGAAACCACGAGAGCGCGAAGCGCACCGCGTGGCGCGCAGCTGGCGGTGTGGGGATTTTGTCATTTTGTGGGTGGGAGCCTGCGACTGGGACTCTGGGAGGTGAGCTGAGGTGGTGAAGCAGTGAAGGCAGGCCCTCAGAGCTTGGGCCGCCTGCTCGTGGCGCCGCTCGTTGGCGGCCATGCACGCCAAGGGGGAAAGGAACATGTGAGCTCAAAATAACAGAATTGGCTCCCGTCATGCTAGCACCGGTCCTCCTGACTGCCCACAATGCGAGTCAGAAGCGATTCGGGTAGTGCCACTGTGGGTAGCGATGCAAAGTTCAAAAACATTGGCATCGAGAAACCTACATGCGTCGATGCTGAGGAATAAAATAGTATTTCTTAGCCGGTGTTTGCTGCTTGCTCATGCAGGAAATGAAGATGGTGCTCTCACATTGGTCTTTACGAGCACATGTATGTCGATGCTGAACACTATGATGTTGGAGTGTTTTTTCAGTATCGGCTGTGATAGCTTTCTCAGCCTCGACTACGCTGTGGGTAGTCAAGGCCAGCACTAACGCAGGTACACAGTATGAACAGCCTTGTAAAAAAGTGTTGAGCCACGTACTCCCTCTGTGTCTAAATATACGTCGTTTTCGCTTCTCAAGAAACAATATTGACTAAATATATATTAAAAAAATATTAATATTTATAGTACATATATAATTAGTATTATTAGAAAGATCTTTGAATCTAGGTTTTTAATAAATTTATTTTGAGATAAAATATTACACGTATTTTTTACAAATCGAGATAAACTTATGACATGTACACCAACGACGACAGTTATCGGACTGACAGATGATTGAAACCAACACTGAGCTCCGGTTATGGCTTCAGCGATCCGTCAGATGAGGCACCGACTTCTTCTGCAGGCTGCTATGATAGCCTGCAAGGCTACCACCCCATCGTTTTCGGCCTATTCAGTTGGCTGGTTCATATCATTGCTGATTCGTTTATGTGAGAGAGAAGTACTGATAATTGGTTGTGATAAACAGTGCTTTTGTGAAAGGGCTGGCCGGCCCAGCCCCAGCCAGCCCGCCCAGCGATCACGCTGTTTTCTGTCCACAGGGCATTCGAGCCTAGCTGACACAATGAAACCACCAGGCAACGTGGAGCATTGGGATGCTCTAACTTTTGCTCCGATGCGGCCATGCTGAGTCGAAGGCACAGTGAAGACTGTAGTCAACGGATGTGAATTAATAAAGCTCTAGAATTTGCAAAAAAGAATCTGCTCCCGTTGTAATTTATTAGAAAATGTAGATTTTTTGTTTTGTTGTAAATCAAATTTCTCTAACTTTAATCAAGTTATAAAAAATAAATCAACACATGCAACATTAAATTAGTCCCACTAGATCCATAATAAAATTGTGTTAAAATTATGTTGTCCACAATCAAGTTTGGCCTGGAAGATCGCTCCCACACCTTCCCAATCCTGTGGTCCATGTGGATCGACCATCTTCGCCACTGCAAATGTTCAAGTCATAGCGTAGTTTGGCCATAAGAGATAGCGTGTGACACCATGCTAATTGTTATCATTCACGTGACCAACATGTCAACTCATATCGAGACTCTTTCCTTTGCATTCGATGTCGTTGTCATGGACATCATGGGAAGGATTGTCTCTTTCGATGCATATCTTTACTCCCACGAGCTTACTCCTCTTTTGTGTAACCTCAACCTCAATGCCATCAGCAAACTCGAAGTTGGGCTAACATCATGGTCATGTCTCCACCAAACACTATGGTAGGGTCTTCATCACAAGATCTTTGCAATCTATCATCGGCATCATGACCTATCAATGTGCGTGAGAATAACACCAACATTGTTTGTCTGCAGTGTTGTTGTGCCCCTCCTCTACTTCAACAACTTTCAACATCCAGTCCATGCTTGCACCTTTGGTGGATTCCTTGAGATCAGAGCTCTAGAAAGTTCATTTGGATGAAGTGATGCGCCACCTCAAGGAGGAGGCTTCTACATACCATTAAGTTGTGGCTAGCACATGTGGCTACACATTTGGAGTGCATAGAGCCTCATGGAGAACATACCAAGATGGCTAAGCTTTTCAACCCATGTTCTTCTGTTTAGCTCTCTTTGACAATTTCAGTCTTCGATTCTCTTGTAGCTTGCATGTCTACCGACTCTTTGGTGTGTGAGGATACACGTGCGAACACCACAAACTCTATTGTAAATGGCATGTGAACTAGGATTTTTTGTTGCAGATATTCATGGAGAGATATATTTTATCTTCAATGAGGTGGCTATAAAGATGTGTGACACATAGATCCACCAAAAGACACCCCTAGAGTAGGTCATCCAGGTGCCCTCAGGGACTGCCACTGTTCCAATGATAGATCATATGTTGCTACAGGTCTTCACCTCTGTCAAGGATGTGGTTCTTGTGCAGGATGCATCTGATGATGTGGAAACTATCTTAGATACATGCGTGATATATAGTTCATTGAGGATCCTATCTTGCTTATCACCATTGAAGTTAACCCTTTTCCTTTCTATGCCAAGGCAAATGAGCCCTAGCTAGTAGAGATCCAACAGTAAAGGCAACATCTTATTTGTCCACCATAGCTAAATGGGTAAGGACTTTGCATTCCTTCCTATTCTTCATCCTTCATCACCAACCATGATAGCAAGGTGTCCACGTAATTCCTATGATAGATCATCACTTTATAGAAGCGGCCACCTTGCTCAGTGCAATGTTTTAAAAGATTTGGGTGTTGTTGAGAATTATGGGAAACTTGATGAGGATGTATTTTGAGACTATGCAGACCACCTTCAGGAACTTTTAATGTCATGACCTGAAAACCGCCCCAAATAAAACTTTGTTAAACACCCTTATTAAGCCAAAGTTGAACTTTTTGTCTTAACCCCTTGAGCCATAATCTAGGTTGTGGCAGAACCACCTAAAATGGCACGCTTTCGAAGGCGCTCGTCTTCCACTAGACACTAAGCACCCTGAAAGTTGGCTACATCGGACGGTTCCGTCGAGCACATCCCAAGGGAGAACTCGAACAATCCACGTTTTTCACCCAGGATCTAATAATGAGAACGAGTTTACATCACTTAGTCCATTTCATACAACAATAGTTCTCGAAAATACATTATTACAATACCAAGTTCAGAGTGCGAAATTTAAACAGCGGAATTGAAATAAACATCTAACGATAAGATACAAGGATCCATCTGTGCCCACCAGAAGAATCCTCCACACAACAGTCACTCCTCAAGCTGCACCTGCAACAGGGGTAAATAAACCATGACTCCACAATATACTCGCAAGACTTACCCGACTAGTGGGAATAATTTCCCAACTCCAAAGGATATGATAAGCTTTATGGTTTGCTGGGTTTCCTTTTTATTTGCGAAAAGCATTACTAATAGTGAATCATTATGTATGTATTTTATTAGTAGTTATGATTAGTTCATTAGCTAACCATTCTATGTAGGCACCTGTTCTACTTTCAAGCAAGAGTTGAGCAATCAGATCCATTCATTCCCTTTCATCTTTCAGTTCTTACTATGGTGCTAGATCGTAACCAAGCCGTACCGTATCATACGGCGATTCGTGAACCAATGTATCCTAGCTAAGTACCCCAAAACACACGCTCCGCTTGTACTCCAGGCACAAGCAAGACCAACCCACCACTCTCCTGTCAAGGGGTCCAGGTCCCCGTCCAAACTTGGACTTCAAGTCCCCACTCCTGAGTCCCAGACTTAGTGTGGTGCTTAGACCTCCACCATCCCCGCCTCCAATTAGTCGGTCCAAAAAGAGCCAGAACCCACGACAAGAGAGCAATGAGCCTTCTCGCTCTCATAAGAAAGTATGTGCTCAAGATAATAAGTCTATGACCTAACTAGAATCCACAACAACGGATGGTCCTTAACCAACATGAATAGGGAAAATAGTGTAACCAAGCTATGCCCCATTGACCGTGGGACACAACCTATTACACCCACCAATACCCGTACCATATCCCTGTCCGGTCTCCATTTCTTTCACCATTTTATTATCAGAGTAATAATAATCACCTATTGTGAGTAACGGCAGGTTCCTCACGCTACCGAAAAACTTAAGCATAGCAGCTACTCGACCTAAGCTATAAGACTCATAGGTCAGTATATCTATGCATGTAGTTTCAACAATAAGCCTGTAACATAAATGCACATCACATATATATATCCAGTGATTATTCAAAATAAGGGTTATGCACCGGGGCTTGCCTTGGGCAAGTGGGGTGTCAGCAAAGTCAGTCACTGGTGGCTCCGAGGCTCCCTCCTGTACGAGAACCTCCTCCACTTACTCCTTGATCACCTCCTCGTATTCCTGCTCTCCGGTGGTCACGAACTCCACCAACAAGGTATCTACATGCATGCAATGATGACGTAACACTTAGCATTTTTGCAACCGCAGCTCTTAAATTAAGAATATATTCACTAAGCTGCTAAACTAACTCTAATGACTAAGGTGCTAAGCTACCCATCTTTTCCATTAAACAGGCATGAAACATTCAAGTATTATCTTAGCAACAAAAATGTATTTCTTACTTTGTTTACGATTTCATATATACTTAAACAAGGAGTACTTAGCTACCATATTTCTCGACCTATTCTAAGGCTACAAAAATTCCTATGAGCACATAATAATATAATGAATC